TGCAACATTTTTTTTCTTTTTTTGATTTGTGTTGTCGTCTTCTTCTTCGTTTCCATCTTCTACAATTGCTATTTTTTCCTTCTTTTCTTCATTTTCTTCTTTGATTTTTTTAACGCTCTATGACTTCATCTTCTCGTATTCAAGTCTCTGTGTTTCCATCTCTCAATTGCATCCTCAAACACCTTTACAATTTTTTTTCAAATTTTGCCTAAGTTCTAAATCATTGATTCCTCCATTTTTTATATCAGATCCGAACCAGATCAAAACACTGCCTAGATCGGAAGTGTTCTGATACCAAATTGATGGAACTTGTTTTTATTCATCATAAATTAGTGAAAACATAAATAGAGGGAAGCTCCTTACAAGACTAAATGCAGAAAATAAATCAAAAGACCTTAACTCCCCCTCAGAACCAACTACCCTGGCTCCAAGAGTTCCCAAAAGATCCCCAAAATTTCGCTACTAAACCAATACTTAATACATGCCTACTCACTTTCCACACCTCCCTTCCTTTTATCGTACTCACAAAATTTCTAGAATAACTAACTAACTAACCCACTCATTTTTAGGCCCATCATTATTGTAAGTTTTATGTCAAGATCTATATATATACTTTAATCAAAATACTTCGCAAGGATTATAAATTTGTTTTAAGTATATGAAAAATCATCTATTTTAACTCCAATAAATCCGTTATTTGTTCCAAAAATCTTATATTTCTTATGTCACAAATAAACCTTTCTTAGTCACTGATGAAAGGATAAAGCCACTTTTCGGCGACTTTTGTTTTCACATGAAACAAATCTCATGTCACTATTCATTTAGTGGCTTTTGACAATATGCAAATACGGAAAGTTGAAGAATACGTGGAGGAATGGTGCAACACAGAAATGCAACCCGGAGAAACTCTTCTATAAATTGAAACCATTGCTCATTATTACAAGCATCCCAAATCCCACAATTCATAGAGAAATTAAATAGTATCTACTAAGTTATTTTTTGAGTGAGGTATATTCTCTTAGTATAAGATACAGTGATATTTTTTTCTTTGTATTTAGAGGGAGGTTGTAATTTCTTTCACATAGTGAAAATCCTCTTTGATCTTGCCCGTTGTTTTTCAATTGGATTTTTCACATAAATCTTGTATGTCACTTCAATTGGCATATTTGTTGATCTTCTAACCGATGGAATTAAGATAAAGTTAATTACATTATTACTATCTAGGAAAATGGTTAAAAAGAATAGCCATAAATTTAGTATGTATTTAACTAGTCACCATTGTCTAGCACAGAAAGACTCCCACTGGATTTACACTTTCCTAGCTAGCCAATTCGTGCAGTTAACAGTGTCTTGAAATTCCTGTTTCTCTAAACTTTATTTTAGTTGTATGATACTCTGTTACCTAACAGTGGCATCAGAGTTCACCGATTATTAGTTACTATTCACACTAAGGTGTTGTTCGCGATTACTATTTACATGCGGTTGTATACCTTTATAATATCTTTAACTTATATTGCATTTGTTTTAGTATATAGTTTTATTTGTACGCACGGTACTGTTTATGTATATAGTACTATTTATAATGAAATAGTGTAACCCAGTACAATTAATAAACAAAATATTGTCAACAATATGGCGACAAAATTAGAGATTTAGAAGTACAATGAGAGTAATTTCTCCCTATGGAAGCTGAAGATGAAGGCAATCCTGAGGAAGGGCAATTGCTTAGCTACAATTGAAGGCAGACCCACAGAATTAACATAAGAAAAATGGAAAGAAATGGATAACAACACCTAACAATGGCAGATTTGATCTTGTCACGTTTTGCGGAAAAGAAGACGACAAAGGAAATTTAGGATGCACTCACCAAATTATACGTGTTCAAATCTCTTCATAATAAGATATTCTTGAAAAGAAGATTCTATACTCTTCGAATGAGTGAGTCCATGATGATAATGGACCACATCAACAATCTGAATACGTTGTTTTCTCAACTTATATTATTGGATTACAATGTAGTAAAAAGTGAACATGCTGAGCTTTTACTCCAAAGTCTACTTGATTCATATGATCAACTAATCATCAACATAACAAACAAAGGGTTATCAAACAATCTGTTTTAATGATACTGCTGCTACAACTCTTGAAGAAGAATGCAGATGAAAGAATAAAGAGGACAAATTGGAAAATTCAAAGCAAGTAGGGGCTTTGTTGATAACGAGAGGAAGATCAATGAAACGTGGCTTGAGTGGAAGTCAAAATCAGAGTAGATCAAAGTCAAGAAAAAGGAAGAATGTAAACTGCTACCAATATGGAAAGAAAGGGCACTTTAAAGAAATATTGTTGGAATAGTAAGAATAATAAAAGGAAGTCTCATGATGCAAGTACTTCTCAAGGATGTGTTGTTGGTACCTCTAGTGAAGGAGAAATCTTATACAACGAAACAATAATCAGTTCTAAAGGAGAAAAACAACTCACTAATGTTTGAATAATGTTTTGGGAGCAATATGGCACATAGCTTCACGACGAGACTAGTTTTGTACTTACGAGCCTGTCTTAGAAGGATCTATGTTCATCAGAAATGATCATGTCTTAAAGATTGCTGGAATTGGTACTGTCAAGATAAAAATGTATGGTGATATTGTTCGTACAATGCAAGGGGTACGACATGTTAAGGGCTTAAAAAATAATCTAATGTCTATTAGACAATTATATGAGCTCAGAGTATTGAAGGAGAGATTTTGAAGATCGTGAAAGGAGCTCTTGTGGTGGTGAAAGCAAAGATGATTACATCAAATCTCTACATGTTTTTGACAAATAGTGTGGTTAACAATGTCTTGAAATTCATGATTCTCTCGACTCTATTTTAATTGTATAATACTTTGTTAGTTAACCATCACAAATAAACCTTTCTCATTTGATTACACTTCTGAGAGATCATTTGTAGAAGAAAAGACACATATATCATAATCATAGAGCTCTAGAGATTCTTCGCCACCCGACGATGGTGCAACCACAACAATCCTAAAATCTCCAGTTCTAGCAATTCCATTATATGTACGTTAACTGCCCCAAAACAATTTTACTAGGATCTTGGAAATAGCTATTTTTATTGCTACATGACCTTTTGTCACATTTTGTAAAATGGAAAAAATCATTTGATGATTTCGTTGCTAAGTTTGGCGGGAACAACGACCAAAGTGCCACACTTTTCGTAAAAATTACCTGAATGTCACGTTCTGCAATTTTCTTTTCAAAATACTATGTCACCTAGCTCGCTACAACACCTGGCGAGTTAGGTGTGGACACATGGCAAAATGTGCATGGCCACATAAGCCGCTGCACAGTGCAACAAGATTATGTGGCATTAAACGTGCTATGCAGGATAACATGTTTCGTTAGCTTTTCTGACACGTGACAAACGTGCTATGCAGCCTAGTTGTTTAGTCAGTTTTTTTGACACGTGGCTAACATGCTTTGCAGCATAGCATGTTACGTGTGTATCATAAAATAATATAGACTAAATTAAACTAAAATAATTAACAAACATAAATTACATTTAATTCATTAACACTCCTTAATTAAATTAAATAACTTAACTGTTCAAAAAATTTAACATAACTTAAATTAAATGAAATTAATTAACACTCCTAAAAATAATTAATTAATAGTTATAAAATAATTTAAATTAATATAGACTGAATTAAACTCATATAATCAATTTAAATTATTTTATAACTATTAATTAATTATTTTTAGGAGTGTTAATTAATTTCATTTAATTTAGTTTAAGTGATGCTAATTTTTTTTTGAACCGTTAGGTAATGTAATTTAACTTATGAGTGTTAATGGATTAAATGTAATTTATGTTTGTTAATTATTTTAGTTTAATTCAGTCTATATTACTTTAAAAATATGACAAACATATAACATGCTATGCTGCATAGCACGTTTGCTACGTGTCAGAAAAGCTGCTTACTAACCATGCTATGCTGCATAGCACGTTTGACGCTACGTAATCTCGCAGCATAGCATGTTTGAAACTACGTAATCCTGCTTCACTCCACAGCAGCTTATGTAGCCATGCACTTTCTGCCACGTGTCCATAGCTAACTCGCCAGATGTTTAGCAAGTTAAGTGACGTGACATTTTGAAAAAAAATTTACTGAAGGTGGCATTTAGATAATTTTTTGCATGTGGTGCGTTGTCCCAATTTGATGCAAGATAGGATTGCTAGGTGGGGACCATGACAGATGTAATATTCTTTAAATTCAGAATTTTTCCTTTTCATAACTACAATATTAAAATTATAAGATGACATTAAAATGATATAGTAAATAAACCCAAGACAATATTAGCCACTCCATTTTCATCGAGTACTGTAAAGATTCCAACTTTCCATTCTTTTCTTTTGTTTTTAAGCCCCCAAAAGATGGCAAAGGAAACTTCAAAAATTCAAATACCTTGCTTTACCGTTCACTTTACACCTTTGCTATTTAATAGTAAATAGATAATATCTTTTCGAAGTGTATAAAGCATAGGTTAGTGAAGACAGGGCCATTTGAGAACGCCAATAAAAAATTCAAAATTCAAAATTCTTTTGAACCGATCAATGGTTGTGCCCCGTCGATTAGGTAACTCCAAAATATAGCTCAGCACAAGTCCAAATCAAGGTTTCGAATTCCTAGCCCAAAGCACATTGCTTTTGTTGGGAGTGATGACGAAAGGTTCACCTCCTCTTAGGCAACTTTCACATGCTTCGGTTTCCCAACGTAAGGTACGTCCAAGTTACGCCACAACAAAGCGTTTAACCAGTTCTGTGTTCTTTCATTCATAAAGTACATGCTTTCCAACGGCCACACCCCAAACCAAGGTTGAACAGTTTCAAACTCACCCACCACCATATCCCATTCCTATCTCATTACATACATATAATTGGAATGGAAAAAAATAAAATAAAATAAAAGACTTTTTCTAAATTTTCATAAAAAAAAGGACTTAAATATCAAAGTCTCCTAATCAGTTACATTACAATGCCTAAGGGTAACACCTACTCCACCCAACAAAGGTTAAAAGAAAAAAAGATGTACAAACTAACTCGGGGTCCCACTGAACCGGGTCCAAAACCAAAAAAATAATCAAAAACCGGGAATCACGGGAGAAAGTGCCAAACCGGTATCCGGTTCAACCATTTCCTCCTTCTTCTGCCGCATCTCCAGCACCTTACGGTGATGGTTGGAGTGCAATTCACTCGAGAAAGTGGGGCTAGACGCGGGCCTGTATTCGGGTAATAACCGACCCGACTTGAACCGGACCCCACAAGCGTTGCACAGCGTTTTCGCCCCGAGCGGTCCGGTTCGCCACTGAGGGGTCTTCTGGACACCGCAATGGCTGCACCGCCGCGGAATCTTCTCCACGCCGCCGTCAAGCGCGGCCCTCCTCTTCGCCTTCTTCTCCGGCGACTTCGTCTCCGAGAAAACCCGGTTTGTGGTCACGGTGGTCTCCGGGAGTGACGAGGAGGAAGAGGAAGATGGAGTGGTGGAGCTCGAGGTTGAAGAAGAACATGAAGAAGAACCGGTGAAAGAAGGGGAATTGAAAGGCCAGACTCGAATCCCGGTCCTGGTTCTCTTGCTCCTAGCCTTGACCGGAACCGGATTTTTGAAACAGAGTTGAACCGAAACAGAGTTTCCCGGTTCAGGCGCTTTGGCTGCAAGATTTTCTGTTAAGTTTCTGGTTGGGAAGGAAATAGAGTATTCAGAGAAGGAATCTTCAACAAAATGAGACAACCATTCCAAGTTCGCAGCATCTTCAGCCTATAAAAATTGAAACTTTCGTATCAAATTAAAAAGAAAAAAAAAAAAAAAACCACCATAAAAAACCGTTTTATGTTTTATTTGTGTGGTGAGAGTACCGGAACACCGAGTTCGCTTGTTGGGAAAGACCCATTGTTGAATGAGGAGTTGCAAATTTGGTGGGTCTTGTGTTGGTTCTCCTGTTGAAGTGAAACAGAGGCAGAATCATGGTTTTGTTGTTGGGGTTCTTCTTCTTGGAGTACTTGTTCATGTGAAAAGTCGAAGAAGTCGTCTACGATGAAGTCGTCGACACTCTGCACGTTAAACGACAACTCCTCTAAGAGCGTTTGAGGGCTGAATTTCATTGTCATGTCTTTTCTAAAACTGCTCTTCAACGCTGCTTGCACCACGCACTCCATTTCTGTTTGCGCCTAAAATAGAACGAATAAGATCAATTTATTATTATATATTATTTTTAAGAATGCTGAAAATCAACGAAGACTTAAGGACTCAATCTTATGTTATTTAAATTTTTTTTTCCTTTATAATAAAGTTCACATGGTGAGAGACTCATTACCTGAGAGAGGAAGATAGAGGAACAGAGGGAAGAGATGATAAGTGAAGAGAAGAAATTGAAAGAGAAGATATTAAGTATGTTAAAGCATTGAATGAACTTGAAAGCGTCCCTGACATTTGTTAAATTTTTTGTTGTTGTTTTTTTGATACATAAAGCGTCCCTGACATTATTACTAAGACTTTACTGAAAGAAAAAAATAAAATACAATAAATATGAGCCCGTTTCTTCATCTCTCTTTATTTGCTTTCCCTAATTTTAATATCCCTTCACTAGGGGTGTAAATGAGCTGGGCTGGGCTTTGGCCATCCTGGCCCAAGCCTACGTAAAAAAAAAATCAGCCTATCTGGTCTACTGGCCTATTAAAGGCTTTATTTGTAGGCCAAACCCGGCCCATTTTCAAAAATAAGAAAGCCTGACATGGCCTACAGGCCTTGTAGGCCTCCCACTATATATACTAAGCAAAAACAATAATTGTATAGAGCAAAGAAATTTTCATTCATGCATGCACTAGTACTTCTCATAAGAAAAAAATGACAAATAAAAAAGAGTCAACATAATACCTCAGCTCTAGAATGTATATCATAGAGGAATAGAGTCAAAGAAATGGGAAAAATAAGAAAAATACAATTACTGGAGGCTGAAATAAAGTCTACAAGAGAATGTCATTCATTTAAAAATCTTTAAACCACCATCAAAACGAGGGAAAGAAGATTATTATTGAAAGATCTTCATCAGTAACATCATAATTCAGCAAGGTACCCATTGCTCCATGGTATTAAGCTGCAACAACATGTAAAATTTGGAGACATTAGACAAGTTTTCCTTTCATAAAATAAAATAGCACAAAAAATAAGAGATATTGGTATTTGGTACTTTGTGTCTTTGCCACATAAAATAAATATTATTTTATTATTTTATTTTAATAAATTAAATAGGCCAGCCTACAAGGTTGTAGGCCGGGCTTGACAAAATTGGCATATGGCCTATTTATTAAAAAAAACTTTTTTATAAACCTAAGCCTACTCTACTTTCCTGAAAGGCCGGGCCTGGGCTGGGCTCAATGTAGGCCGAGCCGTAGGCTGGGCTGGGCCAGCCTGGCGCATTTACACCCCTACCCTTCACTCTCCCATGCTCTTTCAAGTTTCAACCCTTATTAGACACGACCAAATTTGAGTTATTTTGAGTTTAATAAAAATCTAGGATTTTTTAAAAAAATTATTTTTCTTATATAATAAATTTACTAAAATATTAAAATGATATCCTTTTCGGATTGTATAAGATATTTTTATATCTCTTTATATTTATACATAATAAAAATGCCTAATAGTAAATGCTCATTGATAATAATAAGCTGAGACACACACTTGTTGTCTTAGCCATTTAAAAAAAATCAATTAAAATTTTTTAATACACAAAATATGACAACATTTATGTAATAAATTTAGAAAAAAATATTTCTGCTTTTGTTGCATAAATATGCTACACTAGCATAAAAGTGAGTGGATCTCATTATAAAAAATATATATTTATTTTTGTGATATAATTTTATGCTTTTCCTATACCACCAAAGAATAAATTTATATAATTAAAAAATACTATAAAGTTGCCGCTTATGTGTTATGAGTTAATATTAATGTAGATTAATCCCCGACAACGGTGTCAAAAATTTGTTGCGATCACGACAAGTATACCGGTTGTACAAGTAATAAAGAGATGAGTAGAGTTATCGTTTCCACGAGAATTAAATACACCAATCACTATTCTCAATATTTTCCTTAATTTGGATAAATCAAGTAGTTTGGAAGAGTAATTTTCAATAACGAAAATGAATAAGAAGACTGTTGCAATTAAAAGTAATTCAAACAAAGAAACAAAGAGCTAAAACTGGTAAAAATTCAATAACGAAAACTGTAGCTAGGATATACTTCAGCTTCGATCCTCCTTTATTAATTTAAATTAATTTCAATAATATTTTATCTCAATTATTTCAAACAATTCATCTTTTAAATAATTAATTGGTTAAATCCTAATGTCTTTGTGCCTTTAAACCTTTAATTCAATTAGAACTCTAATGTCTTAGTAATTTCTTTTAGATTAAGCCTTAAACGCGATGAATTTCAAAAGTTCACAATTCCTACAAGTCTATGTCTACATCATATAAGAATTGGTGATTAATCTCTTTCCATAATCGCAATGGAAAATCTCATATTGAATATCCACAATCGCATGATATCAATCTGAGTTTGGAAGATAAACGAATCTGATTAAAAGAAAAATGCAGATCCTCTAGACTAATCCATGGAATCCATTACCCTTAGGTTGATTAAAGGGTGCTTAGCCTAGCATGGCTAAAATAAACATAATTCAAAATTAAAGAGAAGAAGAAGAAGAACCGAAAAATGTAGATTAATCTCCATAGACAATTAGTCGATTGTACAAACTCCCAAACGAAGACTCCTTCAAGTTTCCTAAACGAACCCTTTTAACCCACTTCGCAAACGGGTTAGGGTTGAACTAATTTCGGCCTACAATAATAAAATAAACAGAATCAGAACTAAAACAATGGCCTTGGGCCTCAACATAATTCAGTTCTAATTACAAATTTAAATCAATAAAATTCCAGCAACTTGTTTCTGACTTGGGCTCTAATTTCGACCATCTTTCTATTCGAATTGGGTTTTCTTGTCTTCATAAAATTTGTAGCCTTTGAGTTATCTTTAAAATGCAATAAGAACGGAGTCAATCGGACGCCTGTAGAGTGAGATATGGTCAAAATACTAAAGTAACATAAAGCTAGAAATTAATGATGAAAATAAATTAAACCCAATAAACAACCAAAAATCTAATTTAACCCAAAAGATCATTATTTTCATTCCAAATACTCCTAAAATACTAATGAAGAATGATAAATAAGTGCAATAAAATATTCATTATCAAATTCTCTCACACTTATCTTTTTGCACTACAGAGCAAAATCAAAACTCAAAACAAACAAAAGCAAAAACTAAAAGATTAACTTATCATTTCTAAAAATTGTCAAGAATGCAGAGCTTGAAAATAGATTACAGAACTTCAACAAATCAACCAGTCAAAACATAAATTCCTTCAACTCAATTTAAAGAACCTGGTAATCTGATTTGATATAGCTGATAATGCAAAATGGTCTCTCAGATGCTCTAAATCAATCTCTCAAGTGTATGGGGTAAATAAGTGTATCGCTCTAATTATACTCAAGAAAACTTATCCTACCATAGGCTTGCTCAAGTTCTACTTCTCCACTACTAAGAACAAATGCATGCATAAATCAAGAGGACTTTATTAAAAGTTAAAATGGGGCTGGGGTGAAGGTATGGATGAGTATAGAAAAGAGAGGTTAAACACCCAGAAATTTAAAAAAGCACTAGCGCAATAAAAATTATACTAACAAAACATAATTGAAATAAAAACAGAAAAACACAACACAAATAGCTAAAAATTTTTTTTTTCAATTTTTTTCATTTTATAGTAAAATTGACATATTAAATAAATGCTCCTCCCCCACACTTACAGTATTGCACGTCTAGGGCAAACTCCCATACTTAAACACAAAAATATAGTGAAACTAATACTCAGTAAATTTCCAGGGTGTGGAATTAATTGATTTTTCACTTAGGCTAGTGATGTGGCTCAGAAAAAGAGAATATAAGGCACAAAGGGAATATAATGCAAGGAATGACTATCTGGCTAAAGTGGAAAAATAAAAGAAAGAAGGCCTCAATCATATCTATGCATGCAAATGAAAAATGTAAATTCAAAAAGAACAAGAGCAATTTTTAGAGAACAACAATCAAGAGCATAAGCACACAAGAAAGAAAGAATGGCAGAAGATAAGATCCATTCATATAGGCGCAAATTCTCACTAAAGGGTATACCAATCACATATCAGCATCACAAAAATCAATTATCAAGTCAAGTAATCCAAGAATTAAGAACTCAACATAACCAGAGTGATCCATCATAAGTATCAAATCCAATTCAACTATGTATGACTCAACAAATATCAGAAAGAACAGAATAATCTACTTATTGACCCTAAAAACTAAAATTAAAAATTCAAATAAACTGAAAGGTAAAGAAAATAGGGAAAATAACTCCTTGTGCTCCTTAGGGAGGATAAACAGCATCGATCAGTCTGATCTCTGCCTCCATCTCTACATCTATAGGCTGCTGTGGTCCCTTATAGAAAATCTTCAGATGATGACCGTTCATAGTAAAAGTTTTGCCTGTCTGTTTATGACATACTTCAACTGCACCAAAAGGAAAGACATTAGTGATAACAAAAGGACCATCCCATCTGGATCTAAGCTTACCAGGCATGAACTTTAGACGGGAATTAAATAAGAGAACATTCTGGCCCACAACAAATTCCTTCCTCGGGATCTTCTTATCATGGAATGCTTTTGCCTTTTCCTAGTATAAACATGAACTCTCATAAGCATCCAATCTAAGCTCCTCAAGCTCTTGCAGTTACAGCTTCCTTTCCACCCCTGACTGGATTAAATCCACGTTACATTGCTTGATAGCCCAGTATGCCTGATGCTCCAACTCGATCGAAAACTGACATGCCTTACCAAAGATAACTGATAAGGAGACATCCTAATCGGAGTCTTATAGGCAGTCCTATATGCCCATAAATTATCATCTAGTCTCTTGCTCCAATCCTTCCGGTTAGAGCTAACATCCTTCTGAAGAACTTGCTTGATTTCTCTATTGGAGACTTCACCTTGGCCATTAGTCTGTGGGTGATAAGCTGTGGCAACTTTATGAATAACTCCATACTTTCGTGGTAAAGTTGCCATGCTCCAGTTACAAAAGTGAGAGCCCTGGTCACTGATAATAGTTATAGGAATGCCAAACCTGCATAAAATATGAGACCGAACAAACTCTACAACCACAGCAGAATCATCAGTACGGTGTGCTTTCGCCTCAATCCATTTAGAGACATAATCAACAGCCAACAATATGTATGTAA